GTCATAACACCCATCTACCCTATTCCCAGCCTCCAAAATGTTGGAGGGAATCTCATCTTCTTCCTCTTCTACCACCCTATGATCCCTCCTCTCCTCCACCGTCCTCTCCGAACTAGTTGGAGATGGACTGCTCTCCGAATCCATACTATCGTAATCCAGGGGCATCACTTCGCTCCCCACTACACTCATGGCCTCTTCTGAAGACATCTCAATTTCTGCATAAAGGGGGAGGAGGAACGATGTCAGGACCCTTAACAATTCCAACACACTCAACACATTCTCACTCCCAACCCTAATTTCCTCCAAAAAACCCAAAATCAACCACAGAAATGGAGAAAGGAGAGCACCACTTCGACAAAATCAAAGTAAAAAATTCATAAACTATACCTAATTTTGGTCTTGGAAACTGTTGTTGAAGTTGTGATTGAAGCGCAAACCGCACGAAACTGCAGAAATTTAGTAGCAATTCAGCAAGAATTTTGAGGCAAAATCGCGAAAGTAAAAATCCCTCTTTACAGAAGTCTAGCCTTTTATATCAAAGGTAGAATACGTCTCAACAGATGTGATTAACCCATCTAACGGCTGCAAAGACACCGTTTCGAATTCGACGGTTAACCCCAAACGGTACCGTTTCAAACTCGATTGTTCGTTTTTTACATCTGCCCGTTGGGCTGTTACATTTATCTTTTTACAGCGGCATTTATTACGCACGTCATTTAGAGGACAACTGTCGCGTCGCGCACCACCTCTTTGTCAGACTTCTCAGATGGGCCCGATTAAGCCCATTTCAACACTCTTGCTCACTTTTGTCCAATTTAAATTTTGCTCAAGTATTTTACTTCGGCTCTGGCCTCAGTGACCCAGTGTCACATGTTTTACTTCGGCTCCGGCCACAGTGACCTAGTGTCATTTACTTCGGCTCCGACCTCAATGACCCAGTGTCACATGTTTTACTTCGGCTTCGGCCACAGTGACCCAGTATCACATGTTTTTGCTTCGGCTCTGGCCTCAGTGACCCAGTGTCACATGTTTCACTTCGGCTCCGGCCTCAGTGACCCAGTGTCACATGTTTCACTTCGGCCCCGGCCTCAGTGACCCAGTGTCACATGTTTCACTTCGGCCCCGGCCTCAGTGACCCAGTGTCACATGTTTCACTTCGGCCCCGGCCTCAGCGACCCAGTGTCACACGTTTCACTTTGGGTACTGCCACAGTGACCCCGTCTCACATATTTTGCTATGACTCCGGTCACGATGACTCCGATCATTCATTTTTACTATATGTTACTACTTTCC